CAAAACACATGTCACAGAAAACACCACACAAAAATCAATTTCGGCATAGAGATTCTTCTGTGATAATGTACAGAAAGTGTAGATCCACGAGTTCAACGCACAAGCACACTAGGATATAATATGAATGGAGAAAGCAGAGTTTTTCAAACTGACCGTCATTTAACCTTGGTAGAAGAGATCAGTTCTTTCTTACCAGAAGAAGTGCCCGAAGCACTGTTTGTTCGTGAAAACGTGGACGAATTCCAGCACCAATATTACTCGATACATGGATAAAGTACAAGCGTCTCCACCCTCAAGTAGCCGGTGTACGCGAAAATGGCTGGTAACAGTGAAGAAAAGAAGTATTAAGAAATTACACAGTTGCTAGAAAAAACGAATAGAAAGTTAGGTGTTGATTAATCCCGCTCCATGCATTCGACTTCATTAAGCATCATGTGAATGCAGCATATCTGCCCTAACCAATGACTTGCGGTGATCTATAGATGTATCAAATCAGTGCCGCTATCCTTCCAGACAAGTCTGGTACCAGCTGGAGCTCCCGTAGGAATGGAAGACTTGGTCAACCAGGAGTGCGAGATGAAACCAGTGACCAATCTACTGTGTATTTCAGGGTATCTCAAACCACTGCGCTACATGCTACCCATTGACCATCTATACCGTTGTGAATCCCTAAGAAAATTGAACAAAACAACATTCTTAAAAGTAGTTGTTGGACACCCTATACTAGCGTTATCTTAAACAGAAATCTAATGAATAGGTGAAAACTAAATGAAGCATATTACTGTTCAGAATGCCTGGATAATTGCCACTGAGGAGCTATTTGTAAGGGTTATAGATTGTGAAATTGAATGTGAAAATTTCAAACTTTGAAGGTTGAAGCACTATAATGCTCACAACTGCATGTGAAATATGAGCAACTGAAGCAGCTGGGTGCGGGTCGTTATGAATGCAGAACAAGCAAAAAGTCAGGACTGGAGAAATTGTAGATTATGGAGAAAACGTTTTGGATTAGAACCTCTTCAACATCGACAAAAGCGTATGAGAATAACAGCTGAGTCCATGGAGCGTTTGAGAGAAATAGTTTGAGATCACAGTAAGAATTGAGCAGTCCGAGCATTCAGAGTCCCTCTACATATTACAGACATCTTCGTACAAATCTCTAAGTTGTTAAACATGAGTCCCTCTACATATCACAGAAATCTCCGTACAATTCCCTAAGTTGTCAAGTGCTTACTGTGTTAATAAACCGTCCCCAAGTTCCCACTTTCCAGATGCAAGTACAGCAGATATGCTAGTGACCATCGCGGGATTCAAATCAGACAAATAAACTTCTCCAAAAGGTTTTATTTTTTGTAGATTTTTAAGCCCAGCACACAGCCTTCCTCTGCTTATGCCTGCAACGATATCTGTGTGTTAGTTGGCCAGTGGATTAGGGAGTTGGTTGGATTAGTCTTTTGTACGCCAACTGTACGTGGAATGCTCGACTTTGTATGAATTCGCCACGCGGGACCTTTCTCCGTAACTGTCTTGAACAACCTCGAGTTTGGATATAACAGTTTATAGCAACAACAACAATACAATAATAATGCGTGATATTTGACGATATGTAAGCTAGGTGGATACGAACGAGATTGAAATGGGAACAAGTACACTTGAAGGAAGTTAGGAGGACCCTGGAGTTGGAGCACTGGTAGTTTGGAAGGCAGACACTAGTCTCCCCGACTGCTGGAGCTCCTCTTACTTTGTCTGTGATGGGTGGGGTTTACAGGGGGAGTTAGAGATAGTGCTGATTCAAAGCAGGACACGGTACATGCGGAGAAGTACATCAGATAAGACGGTATGCCAGGGACTTGGTCAACATAGAACTTGAACAGATAGCGAGGGAGTAGCTCGTATAGAAAGGTCATGTAAAAACAACGCAAAGGCTTATCAAAAGGTCCTGTGAAAGAGATGAAATAGCCTGTACAAAGGCTTCTACCGAAAGTACATGTCGAAATGGTCTAAAGACTTATACATTATGAATGGATAAATTTAAGATAGTTATAGGCGAATAGTTACTATAGGAAACATGTGATATTATGAGAATAGGAACTCGTATATAATGCTGAGATATTTGCAAAACTCCTGACCGCAGGTATATCTCAGCATTATATACGAGTTATATTTCGCAACATACCCTGCCATTAAAAAGAAAAAGGCAGTAAATAAAAGGGTTAAGAAAATAGGAACTATTTAAGGAATAGTTACTATAATCTGCATTGGATAAGCTGTCGAATGATTACAGAAATCTGAGCAAAAATAGGAACTCTGTGCGGCAAAATAAACGATCAGAAAGAAAACGAATCATATATGACTCATGTCTTGCAGTTTGCAAGGAAAACACTACTCATGGTGTCAAGAATGCGTTAAGATCTGACGATTATTGAGTTAAAGAATATGACCATTCCTCTTTTGACTTCCTCTTAGAGTGCTTCTTACAAATCATCTTGCGAGCTGAGTATCAAACGAAGTCGCCCCATTTTTTTGTTGGAAATGACTCAGTACAATTACAAGGGCGATGGTGGCGCAGTGGTCGAAGACGCCCTGCAATACACTGCGGACCGATCTCCCGTCCTAGGATCACCAGGCACTCCATCACTCCGGGGTCAGCAAATTGGTGTCAGACTTGTCTGGGAGCATAGCAGCACTGCCTCTATACATCCGGAGGTCACCGCGAGTAATTGTAAAGGCCAGATATGTATTCAATCACCTCCAAACGATGCTTAATGAAGTCGAATGCAAGGCGCGTCCTTCAGGGATTGATGAGCAACGCCGACAGCTTTATCCTTTTTTTAATGGTAGAATGCTTGTAAGGTAGTTTTTTCTTCTCACCAAACTTCTTTATAAATGTTCCAAACGCATAAGACCATGAACAACAGAACCCAGAGCATAGAGGGAGCATGGAAAAAATCGAAATTACTGACAACGTGCAGCGACAAAGTGAAAAGAATGAAGAAAATGAAAAATGAAAAAAGCAGAAATTAAAAAATGAGAACTAGAAAAAATGACCAATTCATGGTCAGTGCGGCGATAACTTCGGTGTCACAGATAGAGGCGATAGTCTCTTCAACAAAATCGTAAGAATTTTTTTCAAAACTCGTTTTACTAAAATTCTTTCCGTCATTTTAAACGTGTTTTTGTCCACGAGAAATTCAGCCCGATTGTTCTATTCGAACACTTGGGATTGCGGATAGGCTTGTTGAGAGTGACATGCCATTTGTCGTGGGCACAATGATGACCTTTCCATGGTTTCATTTTTCTGCTCAGGAAGTTCTTCGTTTCCTTCTTGCCGATGTGGAGCACATCGGTCTTTGTCTGGACCATGTCCTACGCCAAGTAGGCCCTCCTACAGAAATCATCCAGTACAAAAAGGCCTTTTTTCACCCAGACCTTGCTTAGGTCATATCCCTGGTAATTCTGCCATACATCTTTTTCTAATGCGCCTCTACCATCAGACACCATAGATTATTCACTGCGATCTCCCTCTGGAGCATAATATGAATAATCGAACCAGTCGGCTCATACTAAACCTTATCAAAGAGAACATCTTGATAACATGGTTATCCTATGAAACGAGTGGACAGGTGGTAGAAATATGCACAGCAACAGAACAACAGAACGACAAAACATTCTCGTCTGTAAGTCTAACAATCCCAAACACCTCATGTACTTCGTTTTGGAAGAAACTATCGGAAGTTATAGAACAACTGCCGTCGTTCATTGCGATAAAAGGATAAAATAAAGTTCTCAGCGTTGATATTGCCTTTACAACGACTCGCGGTGGCCTAGCGATGTATCGAAGAGTGCTACTCTCCTCTCTGACAAGTCTAGTACCAATTTGCTGACCCCGGAGGGATGGAAGGGTTGGTGGGCCTGTTGCGCGGGGTTCGATCCCATGTGTATTGCAGAGCACCACCGACCACTGCGTTACACGAGCCTTTTTCATTGTGGTAGTACATACAAAATTCACTCCTTGACACATAACTGTGTTATTCCATTTAAAGTCGTTATGATGGATCGTGGGTACGGTATGGAATGGACCAATGGAGAAAATATCGGAATCTACCACGCATACGTTTTGAATACACGTAGAAATATGTAATGTAAAGTAGACTATTACCGTGGATAAAAGAGTAAATATAATAGAATGCATAAATCTCCCTCTGATCCACAACGGTGGCGACTGCTGGTGGTGATGACGACCCGCGCAGACTTTGGCCTGGCTGACCTCGGGACTCCGGGGAACCGCAATGGCTAAACCACCAAAACTCCGAAACAGTAGACATCGTGCTGGAGCCTCCCACAACCAGTGAAGGCGAGCCATCCAGGAATTCAATTAAGTATATACGTAGAACACGACAAACTCGTAAATCGTAGTGAAAACATAGAAAAACTGAATCATAGGCCGAAAAGCACAACAGGAAGTGCGAGGTCATCTCACTGGGAGATTGCAACACAGTACGAATCGACTTCAATTCGTATCCAATCCGGTTAGAAATCGATCGACGTGCAGCTCTCGCCAAAGAAAACTAGGCGAAGTCACGAATATCTTAGAGCCATCGGTTTGTCATACGCCTCATCCTCACTGAACGGGAAAGCGTCAGGTAGTCGCAGCTTGGCGCAAGCGTTGTCGTGGGCACAATTCATGTTCTTCAGAGGTATTTGGGTTGTCCTAGTTAGTTCTAGAGCTTTTTTTTCTAAGCCACCACCTTTCTGCTTATTCTTCTCTGTTTAGTGAACTCCGTGCTGCAAAGCATAGTGTTCGCCTTTAAGGACTGTCATGAAAAATAGGATTCCAAATCTGAAAAGAATTCGGACAAGAAACTGGAAGTGGAACGTAGGCGGAAAGCATCAAAAGAAGTGACTACTGATCACTTTTCCCAAATTCTTGCTCTTGTTAAACCGTGGCTTCTGTTCTGTGTAATGATACCTTTTTAACCTGGTTTTATTGCTAGTCTCATATGGAATCCGGTGATGAAGTCGACTTTATAATGTCTGAAGAACAGAATGGTGATCGAAAAGCTTCATTCGCTGATATTCAAATGGAAATTGGCTCCGAAAGCGAAGGAGATTCAGATAGAGAGGTTGGCGATCATGTATTGCTTCCGTTTTACCTTCTGACTATTCCTTATTTCTAAATTCTTGATAAAGTGATCAAAACGATAAGGCTGTCTACGTTGACCAATCCCTGGAGGATGTGCCATGCATTCGACTTGATTAAGCACCGTTGCAGGTGATTGAATGCTTATCTAGCCTTTACAATAACTCGCGGTGGCCTACCGATGTATCGAGCCAGTGCTGCTACCATCCTAGACAAACCTGGCACCAGTCCGCCAACTCTGGAGGGATGGAAGACTTACTGGGCCAGAAGTCAGGGGATCGATCCCATGTGCATTGTAGGGCGCCTTCGACCACTGTTCGACAGGTGCCTTGGTATTGTGTCCTAATTGGGGTTTTAGTGGGCGCATAGAGTATGGCGGTAAGAGGTGCCTCACAATACGGATGTGGGTCGTTCTCCCGATCTCACGCCGAAAGCAAGCCAAGATCTCCATCCCTCTCACTCGATATCAGAATTATCTAGGAGAATTGGTACACTGACTCCTTCACTGTGTGAGCCACATATGTATCCAATGACCTTTACGATCGGCCTGTGAATTCGAATGCATTGCTTATCCCTAATGAATTGGTGACTCCAAACGGTTTATGCTTTTGTGCTTATAATCGGTCTCTTATGGGCGCGTATGGAGCAGTGGTTGGAGGCGCCCTGCAACACATACGTGGAGCCGATCCCCAAGTCCATGGCTAACCAAGCCTTCCATCCATCCGGGATCGCTAAATTGGAACGAGATTTGTCTGAGAGGATAGCAGCACTGGCCCGATACATCGATAGGCCACCACGTGTCATTGTAAAGGCCGGGTATGCATTCAATCACCTCCAAACCATGGTTAACGAAATCGAATGCGTGGCGCATCCTTCAGGGATTGATCAGCGCCGAGTGCTTTATTTTATAGCTTTTTAATCGGCTTTTTTTAATTACTGTTTCTTGTTAATTCTAGCTTCAAATAGCTCTTCAAGAAGGCCTACTAAACACCGAACGGCTCAATTATATCGTTCCGAAAAAACGCCCAATTATAAACAGGACGGTTAGCTTCTCCCCCTTCACCTTTTTCTCAGTTGATTTGGAAACTACTGCGGAATTTTTATTAACCCAACAGAGCTTGTTACAGGCTGAAATACGTGAGAAAATTGCTGAGTTCGCGAAAAAGCTGCCGTGGATTGAGACAGTGGACATCACAACGAGGTCAACACTTACGAAGGAGATGATAAATAACGATTTCGATCGAGAACTACAGTTGTTAGTTTACGCTTTCACTTAACTCCGCGTGGGAAATATTGTACTGTGTTTCCACTCGCCATTCATCAAACAATAGTGCACTGAATCAGCAGCTTTCCACTGCGAAATTTTGTTGCGCTCGCTTCAAAATGGGGCACGTGTACCGCAGTGATCGGAGCAATGCACGTGAGATCGATCTCTGCGCCCCAGGCCCACCAAACCCTGCATCGCTCCGTGGTCGCCACGTTGGTACCAGACTTGTTTGGGAGGATAGCACCACTGGTTAGATACATCGCTAGGCACCGCGAGTCATTGAAGAGGCGTGTACCTATATGCATTCAATCATCTCTAACGATACTTAATGAAATCGAATGCATGGCGTATCCATAAGTGATTGATCAATGTCGAGAGGTTTGTTCTTTGTCCTTTGTCTGCTTCGAAATGTGCATATTTTTAGCACAATTCCCTTTAATGGCGATTGTCGCTGCTTATGTTATTCTCTCAACCGTTTCCTACCATGTAATAGCCAACGATGTTTTGCCTTGTTTCTTTTTGATGTGGAAGTGTTGTCTGACGGGCTATGTGAAGCAAACTGCCTTTGTATAAGTGTGGGCAGGAAACAGGGTGTGGTTCTCCATCTCCCCGTGTGACTACATAGGTACTCATTGTCATAGCACGTTGTGGTAACAATTTTCAGTTATCAACAAGCAGAGAAAGCTGTGCAGTTGGCAGTACCTCGTCTTCTATCTCTTGGTATTAAGGTCATCAGACCATCCGATTACTATGCTGAAATGGCAAAAAGTGATGGGCACATGCAAAAGGTGATCCTGTTTGTTTCTCGCTTTTCCTTCAGAAATATGCGCATTTTTAAAAGGTTCTACTTTCCATGATACAGAGTTCCTTGTTTATTGTGTTTTTATTTTTACAACTTTTTTTTAAACGGGCGCGTATGGCGCAGTGGTCGGAATCGCCTTGCAATACACATGGGATCGATTCTTGCGCCACTGACCCACCAAGCTCCCCATTCGTCTTGGGTGGCACATTGGTGCCAGACTTTTCCAGGAGGACAGAGCACTGGATGGATACATCGGCAGGCCACCACCAGTCAGTAAAGGCCAATATGCATTCTATTGCCTCCATACGATGGTTAATAAAGTCGATTGAATGGGGCATCTCTGAAGGATTGGTCAACGCCGAGAACTTTATCCTTTTATCCGTTATCCTATTTTTACTGTTAAAGGGATTTCTTATTAGAAGAATCGATTTGTATGCTATACTATTTTATCTGAAATGCCACAGCTGAATTGTGTAATTAGGTCAGAAAACGTCTACTAAAAATCCAAGAGGGTAAAGAGCGGCAGGAAGCTATACGAAAAATGCGAGAGGAAAGAAAGTATGCGGTGATGGTTAAGAAGGTGAGGCGATTGCTTTAACAAGCAGCTTTTCTTTGCCATTTGTTCTAACTTTACTTAGGAAGTGTTACAAAAACGAAACAACGAAAAGAAGCAGTTAATGGAAGCAGTGAAAAAACACAAGAAAGGAATGAAACAACAACTGGAAGATATGCTAAATAACGTGAAACGAATGGACTTGGAACAGGTGGACTAAGACTTTTCACATTCTTTGCAAATCGTTGTTGCGTTCAAAAACCACCTTCGGAGATTAAAAGCAAGTGCGAAATTGATTGCGGATCTCGTTATGAAAATTTTACAATAATTGTCTATTTCTAGCATTTTTGCCACGTACTGTCTAAATCGAATTTCATTGTTAACGACTTGACCTGTAATGCTTTTTCCTAGAAATTAGTCTGTAGATTGCGAAACGGGTTGAAGTAACCCCCATCAAATAATAAAAGTCGCTTAGGTTTGTTTTATGAGTTTAGTCTTGAACAAAACAACAGCATTATCTCAATGCTATCGCCGAGAATGAGTTTGGGAAGGGCTTCCAAACACGCAACGCAGTGGCAGTTAATGAGGTTTCATACCGGATTTACTGTTCTTGATGACGGAGGAGGTCGTGGGCGCCGATCAAAAGTTCGCGCTGATAATGCCAGGCCGTCAGAACGTTTTTGCGAAAGAGCTTAACATTATTCACATCTGAAAAATCGTTCAGAATTTGAGACAAGAGGGCGCAGTTGAAAGAGTCCGACAGATGGGTACCAAGTTTAACCTGTGTATTTTTTACGCAACACGAATAATCCCCGTTGTGACATGTAGTGAAGATTAGGTCCAATACGATAACACTTTTTTTAGTAAGAAGGTCTAGATGAGTTGAGCCCTAATCAGTTTATAAGGTCGGATTCGCAGCGAAATTTGGTTATGTTATGACAACTTTTATTTTCGTCGAAAGGAACTATTATTAGATGTCTTGATCCTTGGAAAAACGATCACAGCGAAGAAGTAGGGTCACGAAATCGGTGAAATAATTTCAGTACTGGTATCCAGAACTGGTTGAAAGAAAAAGCCCATTCTTCCTGCCCTCACATCCCTCTACCACATATTGCGCAACTAATTTTTTTTCCTCATTATCACGCGTGATATTGGACAGTATATAAACCTGTTATTCTGATGGGAGGGGCACATTACGCTTCCACGTGAATTCTATGCGGTTGGTCTTCACGTGGCATACGCACTGGAAGACCTATAGAAAGCGGTAAGTGTGCAGAGCTGTGTTAAATGTGATTGAAATCTTGGTTTAGCGTTTTCTCTGTTTGGTTATGGAGGTGTTTGGCCGTGTAGATTGCAGTCGACTTGTTCTTTCCAAGCTCTGAGGAAGGCGAAATCCGCCGAAACGTCAGCTTGTACGTTAATAAAGAAATAAAGTAGCACCTCGTGTTTGCTGAACAGAAGTATAAAGAATTGTTCAATGACTGCCGAGGTTAATAGAAAATCGGACGTGGGAGTTAATTTTTCAGGGTTTGATGAGTTTGGGTTACCAAGCTTTCCTTCAAACGGCACACTTGTGGGACATTTTGCTAGTCAACTACTACTTTCTATAGCATATCAACAACTACCAACCGGGAAATTTTCTGCAGCCAGTCTGCTGTAAAATACCAAAATTTTTACTGTCGGAACAATATAGGCTTTTTTTAGTGGCGTATTTATCTTTTAATGGTTCTTTCTTTGATTAACTTCTTATTTGCTACCTACTACAGCTTTTCACGGCAGGATATTATGTGAAATACAACCACAACGATGCTGAGATCTCTGGAAACTCTGGACTGCAGGTATCTGCGGTGGGGAACGAACGCGTTATTACGCTTTCCGTGAGCTAACGAGTTCACCACCACACCATGCGGGTCCTTCGTTTCGCGTGCCTCTCACCTAAGGAAGTTGTGTTCGAACTGTGTTATAACCTCGCAAAGGTGTTGTTCAAAATCCACAGTTTGTTTTGCACCAGGCTACTCTAAATGCATGTTCTCTAAGTCACCTCCCTCCCGTCCTCCTTACTCTTCAATTCTAGGATTCTCTGTGATTTTTGGGTCTAAGTGCATATATCTGTAGTAGCTTGGTGGTCATTGTGCATATCTGGATTTCTAGTTAAACACGGTGCAGTTCCGTATACATGAACACTCTAATTTAGGATGATGGTGTTTCTACTGTCTCTAGAAATAATCCGAAGAAATTTCGTGGAGCAACGATAGGTCGCAGTTTCGACGCAAAAAAGAAGTGGAAAAGTGGGAAATTCGGTTATGGAGGAAAGAAAAAGGGTAGCAAGCGAAATGATAAAGAAAGGTATGTGTCGCTATCATAAATTCACAAAATGTTTCCATACAAACTTTAAACGTTTGCACATTTTTCTTTATGCGTTGGGTTTGACATGTTTATCCGGAAAGCGTTCCACCGTTCTGATTCTTTTGAGGTGTTACTTGTTTTCCAGCTTCGAAAATATATCACAAGGAAGGTCAAAGTATGGAATTCGAAATATCGGTGGTCGGGGCTATCGTGGTGGCAGGAGCAAAGGAAGCAGACCTCGGGAACGGCGATAACTTTTTCTTTCCATTCATGAGCTGTCTCAGTACTTGCTGTTTTGTTTGTTGCTCTATGCTCTTGTATTTATGTTGCTCTCTGGTTGTTGTTACCATAAAGCTTTCGTACATAACTCGCTCATTTTTCTATTATTCGGCTTTTCGCTTACTTGCCTTGTAACTTTCTCATATTCGTTCAAATCTAGCAAAATTGGGCAGTATTGGAAGCACGACAGTTTTTAGAATGGAGAAGGTGTCCGTTGATTGTTCTGGAGGTTGAGATATGTTGCTACTGTTTGCGTCAGGCTTCCTAATATTCACCGTTCTAATTTGCTGCACATTCTTCCCTTATTTTTATTTGGTTCGACGTAACCGGAATGGAGAGACGTACGTAAGGTTCTGTGGGTTAACGACAGCTTAGTGTTAACCTATGGTTCTTTGTTTATAGGCACATAGTCTCTTTGTCGATCTGCAACTGCGTGGCATGTGGTGTCTTCTTGTCGACATGTTTCTTAGGGTTAATACCACATGTTCGTTACCAGGAGCAATTCATCAGGTAAGGGTCTTTGTGCATGTTCTCAGTTCTGACTAATTGGAAGGTTTTTTGTGCTTTACATTTCTCTTATGGTAATATCTATTTCCTTCCAACGGTTTACCGCCTCATCTTGGATGGGAGGTGTTCGTAGGTGTCGGGCTGCGATGCACAGCGGGGGGATTCATCGCCCTGGCAGGGTCCCCCAAGCTGAGAATGAGTCCGGCGTTTCCATCAGGAAGTCTACCTAAGAGTGAACCACTACCAGGATCCACCACCGTTCTGGTATCAAACTACTCTCCCTGTGGTCCACAAGGGCGAGGACTACCTGTGAAGGTGACGACCTTGAGCAGATTTTACCAGGCTCACCTCTGGACTCCAGGAAACCACAGTGGCTAAACTAGCAAAACCTCGAAAAAATGAAGATTATTTTGGGGCCTGTACAACCAGTGAGACCCTGAGACTAAGGAATTACTTATTTTTTATTTATTCGATTCTTCTTTGTCGTCTTCTAAATGCTTTACAAAGCCCTTTTTTTTTACTCCTTTTTTCGTCCTCTTAACCCTTGTCTTTAAGCGCTAGTACAAAGCTACACACTGAAGGAAACCTATCCGATCATAGTAGTGCTAATAGTCGCACTCCCAGTTTTAGTACCGAGATGATAGTGCTGCTTGGATTCCTGATGATACTTGTTGTTGAACAGGTAATTGTGCTTGTAAATTATTACCATTTCCATGTTGTTAACTACGTTGGTTTTTCTCAGTTTTCCTTGTAACTCTCATTATTACTTTTAGATCACTTCTGTTTGCTCTCATAGCAGTTTTATGACAAAGTCGTCACCCAAGTCAGGTGCTTTGCCTTCAATGCGATCTCTTCTCAACAGAGAATCCGAAGATGGTCGGCCTCTTGTCGATACTACTCTCGATGATCATGACAACGGCATGCAAGATATTGAGTTCCGATCTGTGAGTTGTGTCATTTCTTCAAAATCATGAAGATTTTAACGTTCTACACATGACTGTTATTCACATTGTTTGATAGCCTTCTCCTCTGGATCGGAGTCCTCGTCATGTAATGCATAGTCATGTTTCGCCACCTAAAGATGGAATATCTGCTCGCACTCTCTTTTTGCTCTTCGGGCTTTCCATCCACTCATTATTCGAAGGAGTTGCCTTGGGGGTTCAGGTATATAAATTCAATAATAGGTGTCGCATTCAGTTTCCTTAGCTGTTTTTTTAGCACAGCAAGGATGATTTTATGAATGTTTTGATAGCTGTGATGTTTCACGAGGTCAGTGTTTTCCTTTTTTTGTTATTATTCGCGATTTCGTTATCAAAATCTGCTTCGAATGTTTTTCTGTCGTTATGTTACTTCGTATTTTTAGTTTGCATCAGTTTTATTTTTGTTTGCTTCAGAAATTATAATTGTTGCTCATTTCACGTGTTTGAAAATTGCGGCTACCGGAAAAATTTTTTGGTGACTTAGAGTCAACTTAAACAATGTAATAACTCTGCCTTAAAACTCTGGGCGTTGATCAATCCCTGAGGGATATGCCATGCATTCGACTTCATTAAGCATCGTTGGAGATGGCTGGATGCATATCTCGTCTTTACATTGACTCACAGGGCTCTACCGATGTTTCGAGCCAGTGCAGTTGTCCTCCCAAAATAGTCTGATACTAATTTGTCAACCCAAAATAGATGAAAAGCTTAGTGGGTCAGGGGCGCAGGGATCGTTCCCATGTGTGTTGCAGGGCGCCTCCGACCTCTACACCACACGTAATGACTATCACCTATGAAATTCGTTTCCATTGTTACTGTTCAGTTTTCAAGGTATTGTGTTGCATTGCGTACGGTGTTTCTATGGCTCAACAACATGCTCCTGTACGAGTTGCTTTACCAACTGCCTTGATACTTTCAGCTAGTATTCCAGCTGGGATTCTCGTGGCTGTTTTGGTGAGCGCTTTTTTGGAGCGTCAATAGCGGGGATTATGTTGGACTTATATAATCATTGGTCATTCGTTGTTAGGTTGATCAGATTAATTCGGACACGACCTTGTTACGTTTCATCCTGGAGGGCTTGGCGGCAGGGACGTTTATATATGTGGCATGTGTGGAGATGCTGAGTGCAGAGCTGAGTAGCTCTCATGCTCACGCCCATATTGGAGTTGATGAACAACATGGTGTTCACCCTGCATCTCACTCACCATTTCAGGTAAAACCAACTAATTAAAAGCCAATTTAGTCACTTTTATTCATCTCTTATTCTTTCTCATGTCAGCGTATGATATGAAATATAGCCACAATGTGCTGAGATATTCGCAAAACTCCGGACCGCAGGTTTCCGCAGGTGGCAGAAAGGTTCAGAGTTTTTCAAATATCTCAGCATCATTGTGATTACAAAAACCAATTATTTTGACCTTCAACACATTTACGACATTGGTGTCAATTCATGTGCGAACGAAAATAATTGTACCCATCAACTGTATCATTTTCGCGGTTGATTTCAATCCATAGGGGTAATCACGCTAGGGCATATGCGTTAATTTCAGCACATTTTCTTTCCGATTATTTATTTTGCTGAGCAATATGTTTTGCCATTATATTCAGTTGATACGCATCACATACGTTGAGCTGAACATTGGCCGGAGAAAAGCTACGTAGTGCACTCAATATTTTGGCAATAATTGGTCTCTCTACTAGTTTTTTAGTTTTTTGGCACATGAACTGTATTTTATGAAGACTGTAAGAAAATACTCCGACTTAGGCATACTCGTCAGTGTGATTCGGAACTGCGGATGTTTAGAACCACACATTGATTTGCAACTGAGCAGTGGTCAGATATGGCTGGAATTATAAAGTATAGAAAACACCATAGTTTACCTAACTTGTCTTAAAAACTACTTAGAAAGGGCCGACAGTTTCGTGGTTGGAGAATTGATGGTATTTTTATTGCGTATAAAGGTAAAACTTTTTCAAAAACATGGAAAATGCATAGAAGAAAAATTGGGTGGAAGAAGAAAAACGGAAACAAATTACTAACTCGGTTACTTTCTTTGATTATTAAGCTAGAACGAGATTCTTAAAAGATTTGTTCTGCTACGATTTCCGCGCCTTTGTTTTTTTTTTTTTTTTTGAAATCTCGTGTTAGCTTGATAATCCAAGAAAGCATTGATTATTTATGCCAAGGTTTAATGAATGTCGGTTCTTAGGATAGAACTTGGTAACATTGATTCATGGCTCATCTTCGCATCCCCCAGCAAATTTTTCATTTTCTGTCTCATATGTTTATCTTCTATAGTGATAAACTGCTTTGAGTGCGGTGTGTTCAACAAACGTGCTTATTTGAAGCTAAGTGTTCGTTGAATTCCTCAAGCTTTTTTCTGCTGGTCCTTTTCGGAAAGATTCTTGACGTTGTCATTGATGAGACGACATAGTGCCGCCTTGTTGGACTGTAATCTTGTGCGGATGCTAAGTGACCGATAGAGAACTTGCATTTTTGTATTACAGTTGTGATAGCACCAAGGTAGAGTTCTTGTATATGACGGGTGTATGCCCTGGTCGACATGCTCTGATAGAACTGCATTCTTTTGAACGATCTCAAAACGCTTCTTCAAAGTCGACAAAGGTGGAGGTAAGGGGGGAAGGCGGTACTTCCTAACAGGTTTCCACATATTGGTGATGGAGACGTGACCTAAATTTGTTGTCCGTGGGGTAACGGCATGTTTGACACAACTTCTAATTTGATGAGTAGTTTGTAGTCTTTGGTTTGATCTTCCCAAATTGCCAAACATGTGAGAAAAACATTTTGTTCAGAGTGTTCTGTTCATATCACGCGATTGTTATTTGCTGGGTGTAACAATAATTCTTTCTCGGCTTACTGAGGAATTAAATTTTCGCACGGAGAGAGCAGTCGTCCACTATAGAGTGGTGATATTAGAGAAGTACAAAAGTTGACCTACTGTGCGTGGGGATGTGGTAAATCTCAGCATGAGTCATGCCGCTAGGAGGCGCTCATATCCAGCGACGAATTTCTTTCTTCTGGAATGACGAATTTCCATAAAAAGGTTTTCTGTACATAATGGTTCGGAAAGGCAGTTTCCATTCTCGTTTCTTCCAGCCCTTGTGGATTAAAGGGAGATTTTCCACTTTGTGACTAATTTAATGCCAAGAGCATTTAATTCATTCCATGCTATTCCAGATATTCCTGATATCCGTTTACTTAGTTGGACTGCAGGATGAAAAATCTCAGCTTAGAAGATCTTGGTGGTGGGATCAACACTCTTCCACTGTATATTGCTGCTCGACAACCAGGATCAGCCTACAGTTGGGATGAGATGGGAGAGGAAAGGGAGGGGCCTGGGCAAATTCGAAGGGAAATTTTTTATTCATTTTTAATTTTTAGTTTTTGATTTTTTTATTCTGTGCAGCCCATCTTCAAATCTGCTGTTCGGAATCCAGCACTTCTTGCATACGATTAGTTTCGTCGCGTCGATCGTCCACTAAAGTCTTCGAGCTCATAGTATGTGGATTCGAGTGGTGCGGTCTGGGATAGGCAGACGGGAGCGTTCCTAGTTGCTTCGCAAGTAGTAAACTTTTTCCAGATAATATTATACCAATTTTTCTAACCCAGAGGGTTGAGAGACTTGATGAGCCTGGAGAGGTGTCGTACCAATGTTTCGGTAGGTTGGACCGTTCGAAATAGAGCGGAAAAAGGTGCAAAAATGGGAGCATAGCGGGATCCAATGCACACCATGCGGCGAAGAAGTATGCGTTGTCCCAAGCAGCCGGCGCTCATTTTTAGCTTAGTCATTAATGTATTAAATTATCTCATAGTAAACTTTACTAGTTGAGGTAAAACCATTCGAATCACCATATCTTTGTAAACATGGTATGAGTTTCCATATTCTATTGCTTCGAAGCCCTGGTTTTGTTCACCCGAGGAGCCGTTTTTCCTCGCCTTTTGTCGCTAAAACTTGTATCAAACAGCCGAACTTTCTTGGAATAGGACGGGTAGATGGGCTAGCATGCACCGTTGATGTTTACGACTATTGCTTTGTCTTCAAAATTTTAAATATTTCGACTTTTTCATCTTCATGTGATCTTGAGTTTTAAAGAAAACAATAGAAGTGAAATTTTAGGAAATCCATATGCTATATATTATTGTCTGTAATTATATTATTCGTTCATTTGTGTTCACGGGTGATTCCTGATAGCACCGTTAGGGTAAACAAATCTCCTGAGAGAAACACAAAGCAAGGGCCTTGGGCGGTGCAGTGGTTAACTCATGTGCAGCCGGAAAAGGGTTATCGCGAGCTTGAAGCTCAGTTCCGAGTTGCTCATATCTCACCGCCCTTGTAGTTGTATTTCACGTAATATGCTGCCGTGAAAAAGATTAGGCAGTAAGTGAAAATTAAAGCACCGTAATTATATTAACCAAATAAGGGAAAGTCTTTTCTGCTCTTCCAAGTTGTCAGCTTTCCAAGTGATCTTATTGTTGATTAAATATCAACAGTTCTAGGAAAACATGCCTATATGTACATGTGAATCGTGAATGTGTATATTTACGTTTACTTTAGTTACATAATAAACGCAGGGTATGTTTCAGTTTTAAATTTTAACTCAACAGAATTTCTTTTCAGGGTCTGATTAAGGCAATTGCTGTAGCATTTGGTGTTCTTTTGTTTTGGTCTCTGAAGTTTATCCGTGGCAGTCATTCTTAAATCAGTGAAAACGAAGAACTATAACGTGGAGGTGACTGTTCTCCCATACTGGAATCCCACAATATTAAAATACGTGCTCTATCGGTTAAACATAGTTTCAGGCTTTTGTATTAACTTGGATGCTTGGACGGCCCGTCCTCACAGATTGTGCGGCCCCATCGTAATCTCCACCACTTTTCGGAGTTTTGCCGATTTAACCATTGTTTCCCTGGAGTCCCGAGGTCATCCTGGCCAAAGTCTGTCCCATCTGTATTAGCTGTTTAATTAATTTGTTTCTCGACGAAGATATAATTTTGTTTCAGCATTTCAAGTACTTATGGATGCATCCTTGTGGCTTGTGTTAGATTTGGTGTTTTCGTAGCTTTTACTGAGTCTCTCGTTGATGCATTTCTTCGTAAAATCTTTGATCTTGATTGGGTACCGAGTTCGTATAGTCTAATACAAGGCTTTCAGTATGGCTTTACTGCTATTTAGGGTTATTTTTCAATTTTGGTTTTTGTCTCTCATGTCGTGGAGTCTAATTTAACCTCCTAATAAACTTGTGCGGTCCACTTCATCTATGTCTCATTTCGAGAATATTTGTTGAAAGTCACATTTGGTTTTTCTCTATCGTTTAGGTGTCGTTGCCACTATATGTTGCTAATAAACTAGTATTCATGGGTTACTAAGGAGTAGCCATGAGGTTCTTTTGTTTTAGCGTAAGGTTCAGTAGATGCAGACTTTCTTTGTATTTTCGTCCGACGACTTCGACATTCTAAATGAGTGGGCCTATTATGAGCAAGTGTACAAGGATTTAGGGTGATTTGGTTACTTCTTAAAACTACCTGATATGAGGTTAATTTCTGGACTGATTACAAATGTTAATTTTACATTTAGAATAGGAATAGACGAACGCCTATTTGCCATTAACGGGCCTTTTTTAATGGACAGTCAATTCGAAGCCATGAAGAAAGAAGTGCGACGTGTTCGTAAAAGGAAGAAACCGGACTGTTCGGCTGTGAAATGCAGTAATGTAGGCTTATATTAGAAATTGGAAAGGCTACGGTTGGTAGATCACCATCGGTTTACGTTTTATGTTTCTAATGCTTTCTAGTGAGTGGAGAAGCACACAATATTCCTTTCATCCACGCATTACTATTGCATTGCTTGGGTTGGTTGGTCCTTTCACCTTTCCAAGAATTTATGGTTGAGAGAATACAATAGCCGTCAAGAAAATAAACGAGTCTACTACTAGCGTTCCTAGGAAAATGGAAAGCGTGGCTTCTAAACCAACAAGAATAGTGCGACATTAATATTTGTTAGTATGTGAAATTATCTAACATGTTTTAACGTTTTGCCTATGTATTAGTAGGAACACGCTAAATTTGATGTGGAAGCTCAATTTATCCTCCCAACGGTTTACCGCCTCATCGTGGCTGGGAGGTGTTCCTGGGTGTCGGACTGCGATATACAGCAGGGGATTCATCCCCTGGCAGGGTCTCCCAAGCTGAGAAGGCGTCCGACGTTTCCATCAGGAAGCCTAGCGAAGAGTAAAACCAATACCAGGATCCACCACCGTCCTGGTATCAAAGTCGCATGGTAGTAAATCTCCCTCTGATCCACGAGGACTGCGACTGCTCGTAGTAGTGACGACTTAGGGCAGACTTTGGCCAGGCTGACTTCAGGACTCCAGGGAACCATAATAGCTTAACTAGCAAATCTCCGAAAAGTGGAGGTTATGCTGGGGCCCGCACACAACCCGTGAGGACGAGTCATTCAAGTGTCAAGCACAATTTATGCTTAGTTATGATTATTACTGTTCGCCAACAAAATTCTCAAATATCGTGGTGGTCAGTAGTGCCTGACAAAATTATTTATTATTGGTGTAGTTAGTATTTACAGCCCGAATACCAGCCTTGTGTGGTGAATCGGGAGATTGCACCTAATTTCCTTTTGCCTCTTAGTGTGATTTGAACTCCATTCATATCGTTCACTCCGCTGATACCCCAATAGCAGTCAATAGATAGCACTTGGGCAGCTTGTAGCGTACTTATTGCTTGGGGGAATCCATAATTTTTTCAGTTCTACGGGTGTGTTGGTTTTCCGAAAATAGACAAATTTTTCGATAATTAGGTGACTATAGGGGTTATGAACATAATAGTATTGTAGACGATACTTTTCTGCATCGCTCTAGGGATATGTATGCCACTATTTACTATGTAGTACTACAATCCATCATAGAAACATTGCTGTCGGCACTTGAAATGCTCTGCAGCTTATGTTGAGCCCACTTCTGCATTTATTATACCCTCCCATTTTATCTGATAACTATGACTCATCATAATGATTAGCGTTGAAGCAGCAGTCAAATGCCAGCCAAATTACCAGTCAGTACACTCATTCGAGGAAATTTTTTTTGTTTTTTTTTCTCATGTTTCTAAATATAGAATACAGACCCTCCCTCTTCCCACCCTTCACACACAAAGAGGGCGATTGTGAGAAACATGTTTCGAACAGCCACCTCTGTGTGCACTACCAGGGAACTAAAGGAAGAGTCGCGCGACTTGGCTCGGCAAATAGCCATCTCCAATGGCTACGAAATAGTAACCCCACGAGATAAGTTTACAAAGAGAACGACGGCGCCCACGCGAAACACTTGGCCAAAAGAAAGTCCCGTTTATGTTGCCTTTTATAAGCGATGAAGTAAGCGTAGCTATAAAACGATGCTTAAGAAAGGCAGGTCTAGAGGAATCGGTAGCGATAGTTGAAATACCACCGGCTACTCTACGGCGCCAATTAGTTCGCAGCCGCCTGTATGACCGTTTGTGTGAAACAACAAATTGCGTAATTTGCCCTTACGGCAGGGACGGTGATTGCACGAGTTCAGGTACGATATACCTGATCTCTTGTAATAATCGCGGGAGATGAATATATTGGCGCAACGGGCAGACCTTTGTGTATCCGTATAAAAGAACACCTAGATGGCAAACGAAAACTAAGACGAAGCACCCCACTAGGCACGCATAGGATACAAAAGCATAGCGGAGACGATTTTGAAGTAAAAGTCAATATCCTTGCACAGGAGACTAAGACACCAGCTCGAAAACTCCTTGAGGCTTTTTGGATAAATGCCAAAAACCCTACAATGAATAGCAGGGATGGATGCCCGGAGGTCATACGCGACCTGATCCCGTATGTTCGCATCGATTTTTGATGTGGGATGGTGCAGTCGTCAACCATATGCGACTATAATCAGCTGTTCTAAACTTCCTCATTGGAAGTCATGAAAAAGCGGTGGGTTTTTTCAAGAAGTGCAAGTCAAGATCATGTAATTACCGTAGAGTTTTTCGTCTTTTTGTAAGTGTTATTGGAGCGTTTGGCCTAGCAGATTGTATGTCAGCATGCCCTTCGTGGCTCTGAAGAAGGCGATACTGCCGAAACGTCAGCTAGCGTTGTATTGTATTGTGTTTCTCTATGGAAGTAAATGTATGCTGTTTAAAAACCTCGCGATTGCTGAACAAGAAAACGACACATTCATATTCCAATGCCGAGGTTAATAGAAAGTCGATCCTGGGAACTATTACAGAATACAGACTTTTCAGGCGGTCCCACATGTGAAAAGAGTAGTTTACGACAACGTAAGCCGTAAGAAAGAGAAAGCAATATTTAAGGTTCACCCCGGCCAGTTGGGGCGTCGCATATGATTATGTAAAATGCATACGGTCCGTTGTGTGTTAAGCTTTTCTCTGATGTGTCAAACATTGCGTTGTTTCACAAGCCGTGGATTTTCGATGAGAGTCTGAAGAGTTCTGACAACTGTTTATGCTTGAATGCACAAAATTGACATGTTCTCGTGAGCTATTTAAGCACGATGGTTGGGATTTAGTTGTGAAGGAACGACACATACGAACAACAGAAAGGTCTTTTATTGCAACCGACAACTAAGAACTATGCGGAGAGAAATTTTGCGATGGAAAGATGTTACCAATCCCCATTGGCTGACAGACATACGAAGTAGGTCAACATAAAGTGCAGTCAGCGCAACAAATGTTGTTTAGATTGATTCAGAAAGGCCACAAATACTGTAACCTGTGTAGGTAGCAGAGCTTGACTGGTGACTGTGAATGCTATGTAAGAAGTGTGAAGTGCATTGATTTGAGACAGCACTGATTTCAGATAAAAGGATAGAGCTCTCGGCGTTGATCAATCCCTGAGGGATGTGCCATGCATTCGACTTCATTAAGCATCGTTGGAGGTGATTGAATGCATATCTGGCCTTTACAATGACTCGCGGTGGCCTACCGATGTATCGAGCCAGTGCTGCTATCTTCTCAGACAAGTTTGGCACCAATTTGCAGATCCCGGAGGGATGGAGGACTTGGTGGACCAAGGGCGCGGGATCCCATGTGTATTGCAGGACGCCTCTGACCACTGCGCCACACGCGCTCTAGACCACAGTAACACATAGTGAATGGTGCCCTACATATCATTCATACTCTTAAAGCGATAGTGCAAAGTGTCTTCTACAACCTTGTCATGTTCAAAACGCCTCAAGTCGTCTATTTACTGGGGAAAGAATTTCTATTGCCAAAAAGCTGAGATGTTCGCAGCCGACGAAAAATTGCGCGTAGTCTGTTGAACCCGCCATGAAATACGGTAACCAAGGCGAGATAGGACAGTGAGGTTGGGGCCAAGAAATTGTTAATTACCGTGCAGTTAAATGTTCGTCTGGGTTGTTTCGTCGTGGTGAATTCGACATTGACGATGAGGAAGGTCGCAGACGTCTTTCTACTATTTGACGGCAATGGATCAATCGAAGGTTTTCATGGGAGAAAATACTTTCACGACTTTTCTAGAACTCATGGAAGAACTCGAATTAAGCATCAACACTATTTCGGAGCATCTAGAGAAAGTCGGAATGTCGGAAGAGGCAAAAAAAATCTGCGCTGACATATTCGATTCGCACTCCTTCCAGCGCTACGTTGTCCAGAGACTTGGTTTGATACGTGAGTGGCCTACATAGAATGTGAACGGTGAAATTTAACAGTTAACACACACGACGTTTAGTATAACGTGCCGCTTAAATCTTTGGAACCTATCCCTTCTTCAACATCGATAAGAATATACATCGTTCCCAAAATGTGGATATGAGGAAATAAAATAGCAGATGAAATATTAACGAAGAAAGCTGTGGAGTAGGGAGTGGAGTCTAAAAGAATGGAAACGTATCTTCTCGGATGACAATCCAAACGATAGGTGGACGCGTTCGTGGATAACGTTAGCCGTGTGCAACCACATGTGGAAACAATGCTAGAAATCAGATTCTCTTTTGCGCGGAAAAAGAACACGGATGGGAGATGTGCTGTACCCGAGTACCCGCAGGTGTTGTAGATGGTTACTTGCTTGGATACTTCAGTGGCCCGTCTTCACTAGTTGTGCGAATCCCAACATACTCGGATTTTTGCTGGTTTAGTTATTGTGGTTGCCTGGAGTACCGAGGTCAGCCTAATTTAAAAAAAAATTAAAGCCTGGCTCAGGTCTTCACCAGCATATGCAGTCGCTGCCTTTGTGGATCAAAGGGAGCTTTGTAGCCATGCGACTATTTTGATTTCAGGACAGTTGTGGATATTGGTATTAGTTTACACTTAGCTGGGTTTCATAATGGAAACGCCGCACTCGTTCTTATCTTGAGAAATCCTGCCGGGATGGGGGGCGAATCCCTCGCTGTACATCGCAGCCCGACACCCAGGAACACCTTGCAGGCACGATGAAGCGGTAAACCGTTGGGAGGGTTGTAAATAATTAAAGGGAATTATTCGTTTTTTTCCGTTACATTAGTTATGCATCGACTTTAATTAACCTGCGCTGCATTAGACTTTGAGTCAGTGAAACGGTGGTCTTTTTAAGAATTTATCTTACGGAGATCTTTAGTTAGGGTCGGGGTAATTTTTTTTTTGGATATCAGCAGTTTAAATGCGCAAATTAGTTGCTGCCAGTCGAGTATAATACATTTTTATTATTTCTCAGGAATTCGCTGCGATTGAGAGAATCGCAAAAGCGGTTCGTGAGACCGGCCATCGTGTTGGGTTCTTCTCCAACCAGAGCAATCGTGACAACAATCGGGTTGCACGAGATGCCGTTCGTGAACTTTTGGAAAGCAGGATCGAAATGCATAAACCTCAAGCGATTGTCACAAACGAAATTACTATTATCGACGATAATAGGTAATTAGTTAGTTATTGCCCAAAATATTGTTATCATAATGGCTACATTGAGATTGGGTTAACTATGTGATCTTCATATAGTCACTTTTTACTTGCTGCCTATCTTTTTCATGACAGGGTATGTTGCGAAATATAACTCGTATATAATGCTGAGATATTTGCAAAACTCCGGATTGCAGGTGTATGCGGTGGGGAACGAACGCGCTATTGTCCTTATCGGGCAGTAGCGCACTTCACCACCACACCATCCGGGTCCTTCGTTTTGCCTGTCTCTCAGCTAGTTCTATTGATCTTTTGCCATCAGCAGTCACCTGTCAACGGTATTGATCTGGGGAGCTCAAATCGGCAGGTAGATAAAAGGGTTAAGATTGTGATTGACATCCGGGTCAGCTTAACTGGGTTCAATGCCGATTTGGGCTCCCCAGGTCAATTCCGTTGACGGGTGATTGCTGATGGCAAAAGATCAATAGAACTAACTGAGAGACAGGTAAAGCGAAGGACCCAGATGGTGTGGTGGTGAAGTGCGCTACTCCCCGATAAGGACAATAGCGCGTTCGTTCCCCACCGCATACACCTGCGGTCCGGAGTTTTGCAAATATCTCAGCATTATATACGAGTTATATTTCGCAACATACCCAGCCATTAAAAAGAAAAAGGCAGTAAATAAAAGGGTTAAGATTGTGGTTATAACCACAATGCTGCTAAAATATTTTCAAAACTCCGGACTGCAGCTGTCCGCCATGGGGATCGAACACGCTAGCACCTTTTCCAGGGCTAACGTGTTCACCACTGCACCATGCGGGTCCTTCGTTTCGCTTTTCTCTCAGTCGTGTTTTTGTCCCATAGGTGCTATCAGCAGTCACTCAACAATGGATTGATTTGGAGAGCACAAATCGGCAGAATGAAACCCGTTAAGCTCGAGCTGTTGTAGAAATGATAATGCAGTCACTTTTTATTTGTGGTCTAATTTATGTGTCAAGCTCTAAATGATATTGATAATTGAAGTCATCAAAAACGTATTATTAGTAAAGTCTAAGTTTAAAGATAAGGTAGGGTCAAAGGTACAAAGGAGTTCCTTGTTTAGTATGAATGACATCATTTTATCGCTGGGATGTGCAGTAGGAAAAATTGTGAAGACGTTCACGGTAAGACATAGATCGAGTTGTTGTTATGTGAAGTGAGTTTACTGATTTCATAATAATGAAGTCTTCCTCTAGGTTAGTCTTGAAAAGATAAAAGTGAATGTTGGGGAGAAGTGCTTCGAGCAATATTTCGGCACATGTGTAGATTTTTACCTGATCTGAAGAAATGGTGTCACCTGTTTTGCCCCATACACTTCACTCTTTCTCCCTTATTCGACGGAAGTTGTGGAAAGCATCCATTTTTGTCTATGAATGGAATGGTATTTGAAGGTTGATGGAATCTTTCTGTCTGTTATATAGAATAGATGGTGAATTTTGAAGGAAAGCGGCAGATTCATATATTGTGGATACGAATCGTGAAAAAACAGGAACCTGGTAACTATTGTTTTATTTTTCTATTTTTATACGATCCGTATTCACGTCTACTGTGCCGGTTCCAGACTTTTCACATTCGAGTCGTTTTCTCGCATCCATCATCCACAATGGTCGTCTAACTTTTTCGTGTGGCTTCGGCTGATGATTGAGGATTTTCACTTCGTCTTGAATGTGGTAGAATCTGGTCGAGTCTATTCTCTCTGGAGTCCTGAGATAGCCCGGTTAGAGTATTCCCAATTTAATTGCAGAAGGTGATTTTTTCTTGGACAAGCCGGGTACCAATTTTCGACCCCGGATGGATGAGGGGGTTGGGGAGCCCTGAGCGGGATCGAACAAGCACCGTACTCGTGATGACCGGCACCACTTCCACTATGCTATCTGCACCCTAACTATTGTTTTAAGTCAGTAATATAGGGGTCTTTTAGGAAATCTATTTCAGGGAAATTCTCAGTCCACTCCCCAGTTCCACATTTTGAAATCGGTCCTAGAAATTGTTTAACTTCTTGTTCTGATTTAACCATAAAAATGCGTGACTACTGAACTTGAACGACAAGAAAGTACTAGCACAACATTAATATAGGGTGAAATCGTAATTCACCATGATTAGATTGAATGATATTCGATCCTGAGAATTGGAAAGTATCAGGCAATGAGCGATGATTTCTCCCCAACCAATGTTGTGCAAAGATATTTATAAGTCCTGGGGCTGCAGGTGTCTGCGGTGGGAATCGAACTCGTTAACACCGTTTCCTGGGGTTGATACGTTTACACCATGATGCTCGTTTATTCCAACTTTCTTTTTCTCTCAGTTAGTTTTCTGGCTACCAGTTCCGTTAGCAATCACCATCAACGGGATTGACCTAGTGAGGCCACATCTGCATTGAACCCTGTTAAGCTGAGGCTGTAGTCGAAATCGAAACTAGCACAGAGAAGGGTGGAACGAAGTGCCGGCGTTGTGTGGTGATGAACGCGTTAGGCCCCGAAAAGGGTAATAACGTGTTCGATCGCCGCCGCAGACACCTGCGGTCTGGAGTTTTGCAAATATTGCATCACCATTGTGGTTGCATTTCACATCGCACCCTGCCGTAAAAATTAGTAGGCAGTAAATAAAAAGTTAAAATTGTGGTTTTTTTCTAGTTGTAATTTTATAGATGGTTTCAGGAAGTTTGTTGTTGAAGACGAGTTTTGCATGCTGAATTCATGGTACAGGAACGACTCTGACTGCTGCATTCGTTTGAATGTTTCAAGTAATCCGATCACTTCAAGTCGTGGAGAATTAGTCTTTTTTTTAATTGTTGACGTTTTTCACATCAGTGAGCAATCGACTTGGTCTTCCTTCAGAATCGGCGAATGAGACTCCTTCGCTTTACTACGTTCCTCCGAAGGCCACATTTCACGTCGGCTGTGTCTCCGATGTTCGCAATTTCACTGCAATCAACGGTGTTGTTTATTTCGGCTATTCGCAATATGGAAACGTTCTTGTTATTATTTTTTGATTTTAGTAGTTAATTCGATAAATAATATTTATTTCATTACTTTTTATTGGCGTTATTTCTTAGTCCAACGTTGTCGTCATTATCACCTGCTTACTTTCTACTTTTCTGTTTTGTTCTCTCCATTATTCTTATTATTATTGTTGCACTGCTTCATTATTATTAGTACTCTTATTGTTATTATATTATTATCAATATTAAGTTATTACAACTTGGATACTTGGATGGTCCGCCCTCACTGGTTGTGCGGGCCCCAGCATAATTTCCATTTTAAGGAGTTTTACTGGTTTAGCTACTGTGGTGCCCTGCAGCCTTGCGGTTAGCCTGACGTAGTTCTACTCCAGGTCGTCACCACCACAGCCAGTCGCCGTCCTCATAGATTAGAGGGAGGTTTGCCACCATGCGACTAGATTGGCACCAGGACGGTGACAGATCCTATTATTGGTCTACTCTTAGATGGGCTTGCTGATGGAAACGCCAGATTCTTTCTCAGCCTGGAAGACCCTACCGGGGGGACGATTGCCTCCGCTGTACATCGCAGTCCAACACCCAGGAAGAGGGTGAACTGTTCTTAGACAAGTCTGGTACCAGTTTCTCGATCCCAGAGGGGTGAAAGCCTTGGTGAGCCCGAGCCGGGTAGAACTAGCGCAGTAATTGTGATGATCGGTACCACTACCACTGTATTGCCAGTTTCCTATTAATATCGTTACCATTATATTGACTTTTTTATTTACTGCGTATTACTATTCTTCATGGCAGGGTATTACGTGTGATGCAACCACAGTGATGCTGAGATATTTGCAAAGCTATGATCGATAGAACTAGATGAGAGAGGGGCGAAACGAAGTATCCGCATGGTGTGGTGGTGAACGCGTTAGCCCCCGGAAAGGGTAATAGCGCGTTCGTTCCTCACCACAGACACCTGCGGTTCGGAGTTTTGCAAATATCTCAGCATCATTGTGGTTGCATGCTTACCATTATTAATCGTTGTCATGATCACCGACTCTTAACTACCATTATTGTGTGAAATTTTCGAGCATGAGACAACCCTTTTCGGGGGCTTACGTTGTCCTGCACCAACAACTTAAGGTTGCAAGTTTTACTTATGTTTCAGTATCCTGGTGGTTGTATTCCACATAATATTCTGCTATGGGAAAAAAATAGACAAATAAGATTTAACATAATGATATCACTGTCATTATTGGACTTTGTTTCTATCAGTTACTAATTTATGCTTAACAGTTCCAGTATTCAAAGCCTACACTCTTTACTGTATCTCTGCCTTCTAGATGAAAGATTTGATCTCATCATCATGGATCCACCATGGGAGAATCGATCTGTAAAACGTCAGAAAAGGCAAATCTTACTGTCTTCGTTGAAAAGTGATTTTTTGCTGGATTTACGCATTGTGCATTGTGTTTCAGCTACGTTATGGATGATTCTGTTCTCTCCCAAATCGAAATGGATAGCCTCGCTCCGAATGGTTTGGTAGTGGTCTGGATAACAAATCGGAAAGGTTACGTAGTAAATTGCCTATGGTTAAGAATTAGCAGTTTATAACTGATTACTAGGATGTAAATGGTTGGTGAAAAAATTTAACCAGCCCTCACATCTAGCGGGGCTGCGCACCTCATATAATCGAAACCTATCACATTTTCGTAGAGAGGGTGTGCCGTGCACATTGGTATCGTGCCTGTCTGAGAGGATAGCAGCACTGGTTCGATACATCGGTAGGCCATCGCAAATCATTGTTAAGGGCAGTTATGCATTCAATCACCTCCAAACGATGCTTAATGAAATTGAATGCATGGCGCATCCCTTAGGGATTGATTAATGCCGGGAGTTTTATCTTTTTATTTTTTGTCACTAGTATGTGAATAATAGGTAAAAAGCTTTTTTTGACAATGTGGTTTCGTAATTACTAAACTATGATCGCCTTCGATGCTTAACAAAGTATGTGCAACATAGTGAGGCCCTTTTTTAAGCGACGGCACTATTACTAAGGCTGAAATTTGTTATGTTGAAACTTTGTATTAGTTTTCTCCTAGTGATTAACTAAAGTGTTTCTAAGCGAAATAACTTACTAATTAATTTGTTTTGGAAGCTCACCTTTTTTCAGATGAAATACAAAGCACATTATTTAGGTTCATTTAGGTATTGAACGTGATGTCGCTGCACACTTTCGTCGATGGAGGCTGGAACGCATCGCAACTTTCTACTGGTTGAAAGTGTGTATACTAATGATGCTTGATTTATTTGATTTGTCTCTGCTGACTATTACCATAGGACTACTGTAAACTGTTTTATTTTTATTTTTATGATGTCTGTGCAGTTTTTGTTTTGGTCACCCATGCTGGTCCAGATTTACTGCTAAATTATAGACCGAAAATGCACATTCGCAGTGGTCTGTGAAAATATTGGAAATCCGTTTTTTTTTGTGCTGACGGGTAGAAATGATGCACTGTATTGCTGTTCCAGGTAACTCAAGATGGAGAACCGGTGTGCTCGTTTAGTGAATTCCATAAGGTCCCGTACGAAAGGTTCGTACTTGCTTCTCGTCCTCAATCTGTCTCTCGTTATACATCAGTTTCCACGCTCGATGGGAAAGTGTTTGCCAGGTAATTGTAGTAAAACTGCTGTGGAAAAAAGACTTCTGAAGAACTTTGGTTGTAGAGTATTTTCTGTTCCACTTTTAAATGGAACCGAGGAAGCTAATGAGTTGCTTCATTCAGTAGATCATCATGTATTACTAAAAGGTAATTTTAATTTATTCAATCGCGTTTTCAGTGTGCCGATGGCTTTACCTTCACGTAAGCTCCCAGTGGTGCCAATTTTGAGAAGTCTTGGAGTGCAACCGAAATGGTTAGATTTCCAAGGAAAAATTTCAGATTTAGAAATTGTCAGAAAGGGCGAAATAGTTGAATTATTAGCCATCGAACATTAAATGTGTGTTAACACCCACATAACAGTCTATCAGAGAGTTCGCGAGATAATGTGGGTTGATTATTAATCCCAAGGTTTGTCGAAAGTCGGTCTTTTGAATCATTTGACACTGTATATTGTAAATTCTAGGGAATATGGCAGCTCCATAGGAGGAAAATAAAATCGTTTGTCAATTTTAACCTATTATTTACTGCCTACTCTTTTAAACAATAGGGTATATTGCGAAATATAACTTCAATGATGCTGAGAAATTTGCAAAACTCCGGACTGCAGGTGTATGCGGTGGGGAACGAATGCGATATTGTCCTTTCCGGGGAGTAACGCGTTCACTACCACACCGTGCGGGTCCTTCGTTTCGTCTGTTTCTCAGCTAGTTCTATCGATCTGTGCCATCAGCAATCACCCGTCAGCGGGATTGATCTGGGGAGCCCAAATCGGCCGGTGTTTTGCAAATATCTCAGAATGATTGAAGTTATATTGCGCAATATACCCTGGCATTAAAAAGAGTAAGCTGTAAATAATAAGTTAAAATTGTGATTATAACTAAGCCTCAGCTTAACTCTGTTCGTTGCCGATTTGTGCTCACCAGATCAATCCCGCTGATGGCAGAGATCGATAAAACTAGCTGAGACGCTTTGCTAATACAGTTCCACTTCACTTTGCCAATTTTTAGGTGTTTGGAGCTGTTTGCTCGATCTCTGCTGCCGAATACTGTGTCTGTGGGATTTGAGCCACTACTTCTTCAGTCGTCATCATGCTTGGTTACCCGCGAAGCGAAAGTTCCGCAACTTAAGAAACCTTTATCTTAAAAAGCGTAGAAAAACCTAGATGTGGTTACCAGATTTTTTGTTGAATGGGCATATTCTATGTGCGCAATCTTGGAAACAAAGGATGTGGACCGATGAAGTAACGGGTATGACGATTTTTTAACGACATCATTTGTATGAGTTGGTTTTCTTGGATAGTTGACCGCGATTATTGTGTACACGTGGTCGCTAAAACATATATATTCATTTCGCCTGATTCTCAGCATATCAGCTTAACGACGTGTCTAATCTTCGATCGTCGAAAATTCGCATTCTCTGTCCTACTTCTGTGGTACTACTAGCAGCAGCTCGGTAACGCATTCGATAATAGTCGGCGATCATCCTTCATATTTACATAGTCTTGGACCGAAGACTACAAAGATATTGCCGTAGTCTGCAAGCATTCATTTCACTTAGCTAATGCTTCAGTCATGAAAGCAGTATCATCAGCAAAGTGAAGGTGGTTTAGCTGCTAACCATCAAATTCCACTCGCATGTTGTCTTATCGCATTCAAATTTTCGCATAACGTTCTCGTAGGTGACTATAGACAGTTTTAGCTAAGTGGAAACGCCTTCTCAAACTTTTATCCAAACGTCGATATTCATGTCTTTATGGAATGACGATGTCATTGTGAAATTCTTTTATAGCTTGCGAAGGGTCTTTTTGTACTGAATAGCGAAGCCGTGGTCATTCAGAGTTTCTGTGACCACTTATGTCGTTAAATTTAAGGTCTTTTTAAAGTCAATGAAAGCGGAACTGTACGGTCCCGTGTACTCGCGCGCTACTTCATTGAATCTCCTTATCTGTGGGTATGATCTTTCATAGTGGAAGTTTAAGATACCTTTATAGCTCAAATGGCTTTTGTTCTTACTGTCCTACTGTCCCGTTGAGGATGACTCGATTGAAGAGTTTATACACCACGGGCGACTGGCTGATCTCGTGAAGGTTCTTGTGCAACAACATTTTTCCTGTTCTTCCATTTAGGAACCTTTCATTCTGACATATAACGTGTGAGGACCCAAACTAGTGTCTTGGTAAGGATTTTCGGAAGGTTCTTTGGTTATTTGGATCTCATTCTGAGGGGATCGCTTTTTGTGCGGTTCACTACCAACAGGAAGGCAATGTTAGACTTCTGAAGGGCGTGTCAGTGTGATGACATATCCATGTTTTCAAATCTGGTAATCGAGCAGGTGGACATATTTGTCAGAGAAATTGGAGTGAAAACATCAAAAACTCGTAAAACATATGGAAACGTACAAAACATTTGTTATCCTTCTGGAAGTAGTTTTTGCTTCATCTGAAGATTGGAAGGTGATTACTTTGATTCGGCGAATCCTCGACCGACGTTGCGAATGCTTTTTTCGAGCTTTGCACTTTCTGCTAGTACGGATGCTCTTTGTTCTTCAAAATCTTCTTTCATCAATATTGTCAGCCAGTCAATGTGTAAGTAGTGTTCTGGATAAAATTGATGTCTTGCCAACAATTCCATTTTCATTGTATCGCTTATTTCGTGTTATCTAAAATTCTCATTTTTTATTCCAATGGCCCCTCATCGCCATAATATGATAGAATTAGCTGCTTGTAAAAAAAAAGTATACATTTGTGTATAATGTACTTTCACACACAGAATATGCTCTATCAAATTGCGCTAGCTGGTGATCTCAAAGTTTTATAGCACTAACTCAGCACAATCCGAAACTCCAGAATGAATAAAACCAGTAGTGGTCCTTCCATTCTCCCAGATATTGTTACAGCCGTTGGATTCTCGCTTCTTTACCTCACGTTGTAGAATCCAAATGTTGAGCTTGTCTAGCTTCAGTTTTGTGTTAAACACATCTCGTTCTAGTCATCGATGCATTAATATTCCTCCTTATTTTTATGTAAATCTGCTATGTTTGTTAATTCCGTTATGCCGTTGTTGCTGTATTGGTTTGTTGTCTGTCTGAAGCTTTGATTACTCAATCTTGAAGTTTGGTTTAACGGTAAATCAAGAGGACTCGTGAGATTGAGCAAGGTGTGACTTTTCACACTTGGAACACAAAGGCAAACGTTTTCAATAGTAGGGGTATTAATAAACTTGCGTAGCAGTGTTACAGCAAAACAGGAAACAAAATCTGGCCATTTCTTTGGGAGAATTGAATAGCGATTTCTTGGAATATTTGGTTTCACTAGATTCGACTATATGCCTCCGTAGAGTCTCACATCCAAAGAAATAACAGTTCAGCAATCGCGGGGTTTTTAAACAGCATACATTTACTTCCATAGAAAAACACGATACAATACCTTGATACCTCTTGATTTTTATCTCTATTTTGTGTTCGTATTTTTTTTGAGCAAACGCGAGGTGTTATTGTTCTTTGTTCACGATTAAGCTGACGTTTCGGCGAATTTCGCCTTCTTCAGAGCCTGGAAAGGTCAAGTTGATAGCAACTCACTCGGCCAGACGCCTCCATAACCAAACAAAGAAACCCCAAACCAAGATTTCAATCACTTTGAACACAGCTTTGCACACTCACCGCTTTCTATGAGGTTGCACTAAGTATGTCACGTAGAGACCAACCGCACAGAAATCACGTGGAAGTATAATGTGCCCCTCACATCAGAAAAGCAGTTTTATATACTGCCCTATATCACGCGTGATAATGAGGCATTCTTCCCTGCGGTTCATTTTCGGATTTCTGGAATTAATCCAGAGTGCCTCGAGGGTTTTTCGCGCCTGTGTTCTTGATTCGCGTGCGAGGATCGTGACACATACTTCGAAGTCGTCCCCGTTATGTCTCTGGGTCCTATGCGTGCCTAGCGGGGTATTTGGTCTATTTGGTGTTTCTAGCTTGGCCTGATAGCGGAGTCGATCTTGAAGCTCATAAAGGTTGC